CCAATCCCTGCAAAACACTCTTTGTTCTGGTCAAAGATTCAAAATTCAAGTATTTCTGTGTGACCCATAATTCTGCATTCTGATACAGGGTTAATTTTCAGACTGGATAATTATATGCCACATTTACACCAGATATGCTTCTTAATAGATCAGCTAAAACAGAATCAGAAGCCATCTGAGAATTTTCCAGAACTGATATTAGAAAGTCATACCATCTTGCAAAAATCTTTTCACAATGAAAACAATAACAGAAGATGTTGTTTCAATTTGATGGTTTCACACCCACACAATTTTGAACATTCTGAATGTTTGTACAAATGCTATCACATTCCTTCTTTCTCCTTTTTCTTCTCATGGATTTACTGTAAAGCAGAATTAATAAAGCAAGTGGAAGTCTTGGTAACAGAAGACTTTTTTCATAACAGACTTTCAAAATGGTAAGCAGAAAATCACCCTATAACTTCTCCTGTTATTGTATATAAAACAGATACAAATATGCAAACACACAGGAACATTTATTCTCCCAAAATTAGCATTATTACTTTATTTGGTGATTCATTACAATCTGAAAATCCAATAGTCAAAAAAATAAACTAGGCATAAAGTTAAAGCATTTTACAAGCAAAATACTTTACTGTTTCCTTTTCAATTTGCATAGGGTGGCGTAAGTGTATTGGTTAAAGAAAATAACGTGGAGAAGAACAAAACCGTAGTTCATCAAACTGTACTGAGAAGTGTTATGAACCTGTGAGTGAAAAGTATTTAAGCGGCTATAACTGTCAACGGAAAACCATACACTCAACATTAACAAGGCTGCCTTCCCATGGCCATGATGCATCATGAAGGCTGCAAGCCACTGGGCTTCTTTTCTTGTATTACAGATCATCCTACTTTAGAGAAATTAAAGAGTTAAACAAGCCAGAAGGCTTCTATCTATGCTCATTTATATTCTACTGGAACAAAGGCCAGAATGGAGAGAGGGAATTTTTAAAGTCAGCTTCTGAAACCACTTACAGTAACATCTGTCTCTCAAATTTTCAGTGTCACAGAGCTACCAAGCTTAGAGCTTCATTCACACATCTCCGTTTATTATTACTGTGCATCCAGGTTAAAAAATGGTATTTTTTAACTGTGTAGCAACAAACTGCAAAGAGATCATGCTCCTCTCCCACCGTAACCACACCACTGTTCCTCCAACTGTACAAATCTGGCTTTAAAGTCTCACAAACCTAAAAAATAGTTGATCTAGGTTGTAATAAAAAAAAGAATATTAAATACCTTTGGTAAAAATAGATATATTTAACAAGTTTAGAAAAGCAAATAGTTATATTGTCAAAAGAAGAGTATAAAAATGTACACAATAAAAAATAATAAACAAACAAACAAAAAATCATCAGCCTTAATAGTAAGAATAAAGGCGCTGTTCTTTCAATGTTTGCCTCCTTAGCTCACGTTATTGTCCAGTCTTCTTTCTAAAAGGCAGGAGCTTTACTAGAGCATATGGGAAAATCCAGTCCTTCCTACTAGCTTTAGACAAATTATGTTTAATTCAGAACAAGACAGTCCGTTTTAAACCAAGTTTATACAACAGAGAATGCTTCAATTTAGAGTACATAGGAGTAGTTGAACACAGAAAGAAAAATTTCAGGTGTTTTCAACCAGAGGCCAGATGTACTGCAGCAGTAGAAATGAGACAGCCAGCAGGATCAAGTCTCCATGATGTGAGCCTTCTAACTTTATTTTTACTCCTAAATTATAAATCCATGTATTGTCAAGAAAATTGTGGGGGATAAAAACAATACATATATTTTAAATCCCTCATTGATGCCTTTCTCCCATCCTTTCACTGGGCCTCCAAACAGAGCTGTCACACAACGTATAATCCCAGTTTGGCTTCTCCTCTCTTTAGAGCTCACTGTAAATCTTGAAGATGGAAGATCCCCAAAGCAAACAACTGAGATTACAGAAGGAGATAATGCACAAGCCCCATAATAGAATCTGCCATTGACTGAATGTGCTTTGAAAGAAAACAGCACAATTAAATCGTGTCTATCCTTCAGTATTCCCTTTGCACACACAGTCACACTCCTCGTGGTGTTCCAAGGGTACATCTGTCAATGATTTATGCAAACCCCGGATGCCAATCCTTGGCTTTAGCTGAAGAACCTGAAGGAGAAGAAGCCAAGCATCAAGAAAACAGCAAGTGCTTCATAACACAACTAGACTATGAGCTAAACTGCACTGAAAACACACTGGATGACAAGAAGCCTATTAAAAGAAATCAGCTTTCCTAAACTGAATTTCTTAATTTATTCCACCCACTATTTCTTATTTTTGCTTTTACCTCAAGCCCTTTACAAAACTGATTAAAACATGTTGAACAGATACTTGCTTTTATCAAAGAAGAGAGTCTTGCAATTTCATATTTCTACTTGATTTTCTTTAAGGGCTACTAGTTATCCCAATGTAATTATTAGATAATTCTATAATAAATAATTTTAGCTATAGATTTTTAACAATGGAAGTGGACAGGTATCTGTTCCTTCATGAAGTTCACATCTACCACTAGAGAAAGCTGAACATGGAGGTGTGGTTGTGATGTGTCTGAACTGCACTAGTAAATAAACACCTAAGGAATGGCTTAATAGTTCCACAGAAAATATTTTAACAAAGAAGTTTGTTTTCTTGTTTTTTATGTAACACCTAATTGAGATGGTAAAAAAATAAGTGTAATACATAAAATTTTAATATATTAATATTGTTGCATTCCAATAGTAAAAATAAATTCCCTAACTGGCTTTCAGTATTTCCAAAGATGCAAAGGTAAAAAAAAAAAGTGCATACCTCATGGTATTTTTTGGTGACTTTTGTTGGTACGCATTGGCACTCATTGCAACTCTGATGACAACAGGCACAGTTTCCACCACAACGTTTAACCAGAAGACACAATGGCCAGAAGATGGTGTCAGTTCGCTTCAGCTCCTCCCTCAGTGACACGGAGAAGTTGCGAGGAGTACAGCTGTACAGCCGCACCTCCTCCTTTAGGAGGTTGAGATCAACCACTGCAAAAACACAAACAAAATGGTGCTTTTCTGATTCATAATCCAGCTTCTTTGGTGGTAAACCAACTTCAGCAGTGCAGAACCCTTGAGGAAAGCTCATTTTTGTGCAGGTGGTACAGGTTCCAGCACACAAGGATAATACTATGGTTACATGAATACCATGAAACCTAGATGGAACGATCATTGTAAAGGAATAGTCACCAATTATTTTATAACTCTAGCATAGTTGGTTCAAATTAAACAAAGCAAGCTTTGGCTACTATGTTCCTATAAATGTTTTATCACATCAGCCCTAATGGAGTTCCCTTTGTTCGTGCTCATACTCTGAGCTCTAGTGTTGCAATTCTGTATTAATTCTGGATCGGAGAAACACACACAGCACTTAAGAATCCTGCACAAATCCAAACACATTCTTAATTCATTTGCATAAAGCACTCAAACTTCTTCCCTGCTAAAATTTCAACTATTGCATCAATGGCAATGTAAGTATAAGATAAAATCAAACCATTTATATCTAAGAGGAACTCACTCCTATGGACTAAGAACTTCAAGAAGTTATGTCATCATCTGTGAATACTGTACAGACAACAAATAATTGCACAAGTATGTCTATCTATATTAGTAGACTCCATTTTTCCCCTTCATAACAGCATTCATATGGATTTCTGTTGCTTCTCTAGGTTTCATTTTCACTTGATGTGCCTTAAATAAAATACAGCTCCTCCTTGTAAGCACCTAACCTGGGGTGCAAGTTAAAGATATTAATATTTGGCACCAATTTCCCTATCAACTGGTTCCACTATATCACACCAAAGTTTCACTAAGTGGTTGAACAGCAAGCTCATGAAAAGATCTGAAACAGGGCAAGTTGCCTTAGGTTCCCCTTAGCTGCAGAGCCATGAACTAACAGGCCTTGAAAGAGGCAGTTAAGTCTGAAAAAGATGGGACTGGTTTAGTGAAAAAAAAAAACACATTTTTTTCTTTTGGTGAAAAGCAAGGTAATTGCATTTATTTTAGAAAAGCCAGACTATAATGGTCACGATCTGGGATCTTCTGTCTCAACTGTTTCTCTCCAAACCTGCCACCATTAAGGAACAGAAGTAATGTCTAATTCACAGGGGTACTCTTATCTTGTAAAAGAAGAAAAAAAAAGAGGAAGAGGAAGAGGAAGAGGAAACCCTATGATAATATGGCTACTGAGATGACTGAAATACAGGTCTTAAACAAAGTGGCAAAGAGCTTTAAACCAAATGGTTTTGAGCTAAATCACGAAGAAACTAGGGAAAAAAAAATCCCAGTGCATCAATACTACTTGACAAATGTTTTAGAGTTAGTGCTAGCAGTTCGTAAATAAAAAGTTATAAAATAAAGCTAAAATATGTTCCTGGTCTGAATGACGCTGTAGAGAAATACCTTTTTTTCCGCTTTAGTGACTATATAAAGAGCCTTTAGAGGTCACCAAGCAGAACTTCAGCCTGTCAAGGCAAGATAATACTTCTCAATTGTATTTCAATACGTAGGAAATAAAGAGAACTTAGAAGGTGCATTTCTCTAGTAGAAATGCTCACTAGCACTGTCCCAGAAGCATATCTTTGGGCAGCAATTTCACTCCACGGTTCTTCAAACATTTCTTTCGCAGACCATATCCATATACTGGCATTCGTAAGTAAAGGTTTATTGTCGTGAAAGGTCAGTTAAACACACTGAAGCATTTTCTCTGCTTGCACTCACAGTGAATGCCAAGCTGGGGCACTTCATTCCATCACTATCAGGTTAGCATAGGCTGCTAAATAAATAATCTGATTTTTAAAAGTGAGGAGTGTGTAATAACTCCAACAAACTTACTGATAGGATGCCAGCCTGCCTCCCACACTGCAAGAGCATTCCTTGGAGAAAGCTGAGAAGGGAGCACAGGAAAAGAGAGACAAAACTTCGGGGGGAGAGATTCACTGTGAGAAATTAGAAATGATTTAAGCTCTTCTGATCAGCTAATAGCTCTAGGCTGAGTCATTTAGAGGGTGGACATGCCTACCTCCATTAGTCAAGGACTGTGGATAGGAATGGAGTACTTCTTTCTCATGTTAAGTTTCCAAACATATAATAAGTGAACTGTCTGAATTATGATAAAATGCCTAAAACACAAGGAGAGAAATACTCGTTCTGCCAATACTTTCTACTGGTATTTTTCTACAGAGACTAACATGCTTGGTACAGTGAATTTCAAGAAGCTAAGCTTATGTGTTGCTGCTCAGCCCTTCACCATGAGATATTGAAAACAGAAGCTGGGCACTGATGCCTCTTCCAGCAAGCCCACCGACCAGCCGGAGAGATAACGCCTGCATGCGTTGTGCTTCTCCGTTACTTCCTGTCTACTGGCAGCAGCAGAGGAATGCATCCATTTCCTGATACTAGCTATAGTTATCACACAGAGAAAAGGGCAATGCACAAAAATGAGCTGCAAGTGTATTACACATTTTGTCACAAAATTGGAAAGAATTTGAACTGAACCCCTCAGACCTGCAGACTGAAATTTTAAAAAGGTTCTGTGGAACAACACAAATCAACTCTTAGGAGATATCCTTCAGTGTGCCTTACTGTCAAAACAGGCTTCAGGAGAGATGAAAAATGTCATGTTTGGTTTCCGTGCTTCACAAACTACTAAGGTATATTGCTATTATACCTCACCATGAACCCTTGCCCTACCTTATGTAATTCAATTTCATTAAAAGGTCTGTGGCAAATTTATCTAGTGCTTATATAATCACTTCTTTGAAGTGTGTGAATGAAGCCGTTATTTTTTCAAAGAATATCTGTCTGTCCAAAATTTATTTTAACACACTGTGGGCACAAAGCTAGATGAGAGAATGTATATATTCCCTTAAAAGTGTTTACTTAACCACAATAAAAGGTTATGTGGATTTCCCAAGTGCACTGAGTTACAGTACCTGTTATAATGTGAACATTTAAACGCTCCTTCAACTTGTCTTCCACTCATGTACAAGAATGGGAAACACTACAATAAAAATAAGGGGAGAAGGAAAAAAATGGAGGAAAAAAAAAAGGTAGATGCAGGTAGGTCTACAGTAAAGTCTATTTCAAAAGTGTGCCTTCACTGGCACATACAACTGAAGTAATCCGTGTTCACACCAGCCTGAAAGTAACTATTCTGCAATCGGCAATACAACTGTCTGGCATCTTCTGAGATATGCATTGAGTACCACAGGGAACCCTCTTTCCCAAAACATTTTTCCAGCTGGATGCTGCTCTCGAACTCAATGAAAAAAGTCAAATTCTGGTTGAGGCACTTGTGTGTCGGCACAGATAGCAGCAAGATGGTTTTCATTCCTTAGCACCTTGGAGATGTTCCTGGGAGTGTAAGTTTCATACTGCCTCCTACAATAAGATAGGGCTGTTACAAAACCCCAAATGAGGAGTTTAAAAGAAAAAAAAAAAAAATGTCATGTAACTATATGAGAAATGTATCTACTAAGGACCATGGTTGAACTGTGACTCTTTTCTTCTTAAGCAGACTTCAGACTTTCTGTGGGAAGCGGTGGGATAACTTTTTTTGCACAGCAAAATGTATTTTATTTTTAAGTATGTTTAATATTATAAAAGAATCTAGGACTCTATTTAGACATCAAAGCCTCCTGAACTTGGTGTTTCTTCTTTCCTGGCTAGAAGTTTTTGGAAGCATTTTATCCAGAGAAAACATCAGACACAGAAGTTCTGTGGAATTTAGGTTGTCTAAATATAGTCTTTTTCATATGAATCATTAAGGAGGAGTAGAGGACAATACTCTTGTCTACATAAAGTAACATACACTTTTAATTACATTTTGATTTAATCTAGATGTAAACTGATGTTTGTCTATAAAAGCAGGACAGTAATTCAGCTTTTACACTGAAATACTGCAAAAATAAAACTGATCTAATTATAGAATCAAAGAGTTTGAAAAAACCAAACATTTTAGGGCATGCACTTCACCCAAACTTCTCTTAAAAAGGTTTTTAAATACAGCAAACATACCACTAGAAGGAATAACATTAAAAAAAAAGAAGAAAAAAAAAAAAAAAAAGGAGGTTTGCTTTCCCTATCTATTGAATAGACCTAACAGTTAATACTATGTCATCTCAACTGGACATATTTTCCATCTCAGGCTATTACATTACACACTCGGTAATGCAGTCTGAGGGTGGTCTCTTAAAGATAAATGTGGCAATACCATGATATGTTTATTCTGTGGAAAAAATCTATTTCAGCATCTAATTAGAAGTCTTTAAAAGATTTACTCTGATAGTTTCTTTCTAAGATATGTGTTGCAGGGAGTTGCTTTTGTCTATATAGATGCTATCCAACACCTGCATTTTAGTTTATGTAAGGTTTCACAAATTACATTTTGTTTTTCTTCCACGTACTGTATGCTTATGGCATACATTTGGCAAATACTGAATCTCTTTAATTAGGAAAGTGTTAAATGACTATCTGAAAGGCATCACCCATTGCTGAAAGCTTTTAAAGAAATTTCCTCCTCTTTGACCTGATGTAGTTGCTGTGTGCCCAGCTGCAGCAATGCAGGTAGGGTAGAAGGGTTGGTTTTTAGGCTGTGATCCAAAAATTAGCTGTCAAAAACTTAAATTTGAATTATGAAAGGTTTTACTTCCTCTTTTTTTTGCTGATCAGATGATAATCTGGTTTACATCTGTCAACAGAGGAGTCTATTCAGTTATGCTCACGTTTTCATTTTCATGTTGTATGGTGGGCAAGGAACGAGGTATTGCCTGCATGCTAACCATCCACATAGAACCCATAAAAAGGAAATGGTGGGCAGCATCTAGATGATATGTGGTAGAAAATTCATGACTGTCAAATGTAGATGGAAAAAAATGACTTGCTGAACAAGAAATAGCTCCACAATTCTTGAAATACATCATCTAATTTACATCTGATTAAGTTGATAATTGCATGATCAAACTGGACATGGACACAGGGGCTTCATGAGGTATCATGGAAAAGAGATATTCAACTAATTGCTCTCAATTCATATGGCATAGAGACTAGAAAAGTTCTAAGGAAATAAACCGACTGTTCACACGATATGGTAAGTGTAAGAAATTACCCACCCCAAGCAAAAAAAATAAAGGTTTTGCCCTCCATAAAAAAAAGAAACCCACAAAGTTAGGTTATGTCACCCAGCCAAGATGCCCTGTTACTTTGTGGAGATAACAATTTCCCAGGTTCCCTATAGAAAACTACCCTGTCTGCTTCTATTTTTTTTTACCCTGTGTTACTTTATCCTGATAAATTCTTTTAAGTTTTGAGTTTAGTGTCCTTTTTCAGATAATACAATGGTGAGAATAGCCAACAACAATGATCTCTGCTGTATTTCTAACATTTTCCTTTCTTGGAACCAAAATTCAAGGTGAAGAATGCTCTTAATTACTGTTTCTTTGTTAAGAAAATACACCCACAGAAAGCTGAAAGGCCAGACAGAAGAGTAATTTACCTCTTGATTTCCTCCCATGAATATATGCCTTTCCAAGAAGTTGCCACGTTGGCCTGTACAAATCTTCCAAATCCAGTTGCCACCGATCTGGTTCAAGGTACCGGATAAGTTCTTCCACAGTACTAAATCCAGCAACGGCATTGTTTAATACATCTAATGGTAAAGCTGATGGGGGTAGCAATGATGGGCTAGGTGCTTCCGTGTGGTGCTGCAATCAAAGCCAAGAGAAGAGCACCAGTCAGAGGGTTAATGGATCTGCTTTGATGAAGTGCTGTACTTTATGAAGTTATATAGCTGGGAAAGTTTATAAGTGACTAGCTTGTTTCCAACGTACAGTTTACCTAATAAGATAAATGACAAGAGTCAAAAAGTACCTAATTATTCTTCAGCGATAAGTGTAAACAAACTTCCACTAGACAGTGTTCCCACTTCTTACATTTCTAGCCATGAAGACAGCATGCCACTATACCTGTTCTTTGAAGTTCACTGAGTGATGGACAAGACTTTAGAAATAGAACAAAGAGTCATTTGAAAATACAGCCCCATTACAGGCAATTACTGTAACCCTCTAGAAATCAGAGAAAACACACATTTCACATGCTGCCTTTCCTATGAAACTTAGCCACAATCTTTCTCGTCTTTTCATTCAATGTAAAATATGAACATACCCTAGTGCAAAGGTAGCAAATATTCCTGCTCTCATCTATAGATGAAAAAAAGCACAAGTTGTGTTTCATACAGTACGAAGAATTATGTTTCTGGTTAAACAATAATTAACAGAGTAATAGAACATCTGGCATTACTATAATTATTTCTCCCTTAAGAGGAAAAAAAATGTTCCCAAGGATACTGAAATGCTGAAACTGAGTACTGAAAAAGTCGATATACTTTCCTACAGCACAAATCTCACTGGCAATCTCACTGGATCAGAGATACTCAGTGACAGGCAAATCAAGCAAAGGGAGACTTCTGGTTTTGCTCACTCTACAATCTGTTTAAAAATTATGCATTGATTCTTATTTTCAAAAGAATGAAAAAAAAGGAGGAAAGGAAGCCTGAGCAGGAAGCTGCTGCTGCACCACCATAAGTTTCTTTAGGCTTTTATACAGGCAGACATCACTGCAGCCATTCTGTCCACAGTACTGCACTAGAGCAATTTATCTGGACCCTGTAAGAAGCATGAAGAAAGATTTGAACATCCTGCTGATTTAGGGCATGGGAAGGACAAGAAATCTCAAATTTAAATGTGCAATGCTACATGTATCACTGCTCTCAAGTACGGTCCATATAAGATTTAGGGAAGTCAGGTTTTGGAAAAGGTTGCCCAGAGAGGCTGCACAGCATCCATCATTGGAGGCTTTCAACACCTGACTGGATGAAGCCCTGAGCAACTGTCTGACCTCAAAAATGACCCTACTCAGAGCAGGAGGTTAAACTAGAGACCTCCTGCAGTGCCTTGATGAATTTTCCTACAACAATATTAAGAATGAAGGACTGAATGTTCCTCCAGTAAGTGAACTAATATGCTTCTTGTCCCTTCCCTGTGCAGTGCCTGTTAGTACTGCACAACATTTACATATATAAATAATA